ACTTTCCCTGCACGAGCAAATGCACAGCTAGATCTTATCCACCCCTACGGTGCATAAAGGGGTTATTTTTTGCCTCAGCAGACCAATATGAAAGTCAGACATGCATTTTTCCGTTCTGGTCTCCTCAAGTGTGACACTTCTGCTTGTAGACCTGCATATGTAGCAAGAATATATTCAGATATGTGTCAACCAAGAATTTGTAGCCTTAAAATGTGGGGTTGTTCTCCCAGTTCTTTTAAAGACATTCACTATGAGAACTCATCACTGAAATCCTTTGTAGATATTCTGCAGATCATCAAAATAAATTTCTCTGTAGGATCAGATCCCCTAAGCTGTCCTAAATCTTAATATACTCTATTTGAAAGGAATTTCGTTCTAATAACATTTAAATGAAAATTATTTTTGACCAAATTCTAGCAAAGATACGTGATACTCTGAACTGATTTCTGAGTGAAATAAAACCCTGTTGATGCCAGTGAAGACCTCATTAACCTCTCCTTTGCTATTTGATAGTTTAACAACATTGCAATGTTTAAATAGGTATGTTATAACTATTTGTATTATATATAATACTAGCTTACAAGATCTTTCTGTGACTATTTATTTTTAGAAGTATAAAATGCGCTTCCATTCTTGGACAGATATGTGAGAAACAGATAAGTTTCTATTTCTGGAAACATATCTGCTATAAAGATAAAAGAAGAATTGTTAGTTCTGTGATTTCATACAAGTTCCAGATTCTGACTTTTGAAGCTGGCACAAGCCACAAATAATTACAGGTAGCAGATTACTGTGAATAAGATTTTCTTTAAAAGTATGCATCCACAGCAAATTATTTTATTACAGGGATTCTTATTACCTATATTAAAGTCTTTAAGTGGTTCAGTTATTAATAAAACTCAGAGCATTTTCCCCTCAAATTAAAAAGGTTGCAAACTAGATGAAGCAGGTTTGGCCATTATAGAAATAATTTTCTCAAAGGACAACACTCCTGATGATTACTCCTGCAGGATTACCATTGAATTCTTTACTGCAATATAGGCCATTGTAACTTATGAGAGTCTCTTGAAAGAAATTTTAGTTTGGTAATTGCAAACAAAAACAGTATTAACACAGAAATACATAGATAGAACCAGATTTTCCAGACTGGAAATAAATTGTGCTAGTACACTCCTGCATAAAGCAGGAAGGAGGATTTTGTGATGAAAGATCTGGACTGGAACCTAGGAGAAATTTGTATGTTCCACTTCTGTAAAAAATCCCTATATACAACTCAACTGTTTACAACTCAGCTCCTGTTTCCAGTCTGAAATGTGTCTCTAACTACCTAAGTTCCTTAGAAGGATGTAGCGAAGATTTAAAGTTACAAGTACTGATCACCCTGAGTTATGCAGTTTGACAAAGAAAGTCACAGCCAGTGCTCCTGAAGCTGTGCAAAAACTTTTATTTGGCTTGCAAAGGCTGGTACCTCTGAAAGTATACAGTATGCATTTACAGCAGGATTAGTAATATAGCTCATGAAGGTATGCAGTACTATGGCACAAGTTGAATGACATCATCATAATTATGATAGTTCACGTCACATATCAAACTTATTTATATATGTTTATCTAACCTAAATCTTTGGGGTGACTTTATATCTCACACATAATTCTGAGAATTAGTCTAGTCTGTTCTACAAGGCTATTGTAGAGAAGTAATGAACCCAAGAAAGATGGTTATGTGGGCACATTTTGCATATGTTTGCTTGTGTTTCAGATTGGGGCTCAGCTTCAACAGTATTTCTTCAGTTGAAAATGGCTCGCTTAACAACGTACCTCACCTGAGAGAGCTCCATTTGAACAACAATGAACTTGTCAGAGTACCTGGTGGGCTTGGTGAACACAAATATATCCAGGTAAAGTTTATCATACTGCCTCAGAACAATAGTTGAAAGATTCCAAATGGTATTTATGTGATTATTTAATCTTGAACATAAACAGATATAGTATTTGTGCAAATGATGACTTGATGTAAGTTTCAAAAGCTGTTGAATAGTCATGGAAAAGTTGCATATAACAGAAAGATCCTTTTTCCGATTTTTGTGTGGAGGTCCATAGATCTGGAGGTGTATATTCATTATTTCTGTGTGTCTAGGGGGCACAACAGGCATACAATTATCTGTGTACTTTGATTTCCTCTTTACTCTAAAAGTACTTCCAGAGAATATATGTTCTGTTCATTCTTTTTCAATTCTACGTAGGGACATTTTATAACCTTTCAGAAGAACCTCCTCTTTGGTATCTCACAAGGCTGTGCCTTCAGGAGGGCAAAGGGACGCAATATGCATTTCACATCAGCAGTATTGTTGAGGTCTGTGTGACTGGATAGCTAGAAATAGGGCCTCTCGAAACGAATTAAAATCTTCAGGTCTTCATTTGGATTAAGGTTTTACAGGAAAGCAAACTCTCAAAGAATGAAGACTCCCAACTGTAAATCACTTCTTGCACATGGCTTGGGAAAATACAACAGAAAGGGTGGTTCTGGAGCAAAGTAATATTCATCAGCTATTTTAAATCATCATTAATGATTATTTTGGCTTTGAGTCCTGTACAACTGCACTCATGAAAGTGAAAGAATTAGAGCTGAAGAGAAACCAGTTAACACCAAATACATTTATTAGATACAGCACATGCTTCTAAACCACAGTACTGCATTAATTATTCCACATCTTTGACTCCTGGTTTGGTTATAGTATAATCAAGCAACAGTAATGTTCTTAGAGTGCCTTGCACAGTTTCTGCTCTTTCTGTTGAAATCATTTCTGATTGGGTGGACTACAGGTATCTCAGAAGGTAAGCAGAATCAGTCTTTTGGAAAAAAGAATATGTTGTTACTGTATATAACATTGCACAATACATACCAAGTATTTGACATCAAGTCATTTATCTCATTTGCTACGATAGTTCTATTTCTGACTTCTGTAATTCCGTGCTTTTCAGGTGGTCTATCTTCATAACAACAAAATTGCTTCAGTTGGTATCAACGACTTTTGCCCTCTTGGCTACAACACCAAAAAGGCTAGCTATTCCGGTGTGAGCCTCTTCAGCAACCCTGTGCAGTACTGGGAAATCCAGCCCTCTGCTTTCCGATGTATCCATGAACGCTCTGCAGTACAGATTGGAAATTACAAATAGATGTCTAAAGACGGGATTCGGTCGTGTTTCAGCTAAAGTACCTGTTGTAATAGGCCTGTTCAAAAAATCATTGCTAACATTTAATGCCAAAACCAAAAAACTTCACTTTAAAGTGGAGACGATCCATTAATGTAGAATAAATGAAACATTACAGATGTACAAATCAAGCATACCATCAAAAAGAATTGCCGACTGTGCTTTAAACTGACTTATTTCAGCCTTCTTTTCCAGCATGCTTTCTGTGGTATTTTTCAGTTTGCTGAATGCTACAGGTTTTCAGATTCCACTGTATATGAGATTCGGAGTAAATATTTGTCAAGCTATGATATTAAAAAAAAAAAAAAAGATAATGATTGAGGTTATTTTTATAGCCACAAAAAATGTTAGAGGGAAAAAAGACTCTCAAATTGTCTTGAGACTTGAGAAGGTGAGAGTTACCTCCTTTAAATTTATTTCAAGCCCTGGAGGTGTAAAAATAGCCACTGTAACACTAATCTAATTCTAAACATATCTATTTAGCAGAGGCAAATAAAGTTGTTGCTAACATCATTATTTTGGAAAAAATAAGATAAATTCATATTGTATGCATAGTTCTTTTAAGGTTTGTCATTCTAGAGCAATGCTATTCAGGATTAGCCTAACATAATCCTATTGAACAAAATAATGAGTAGTCTGCAGTACAAAATCTGTAACCTATGTCTGGAGCTCAATGACTAAATTTCTCTAGGGCAAATCCCTCTCACTTTAGCCACAAGAGCAGCTTTAATGACTTCAGTGAGACTGCCTTGCAGAGTATGGTATTAGGGTTTAGTCTTTGGTATCAATCCATGTATATATCTAGACAGAAAATAACAGCAGTTCACTGTTCACTTGTTCTGCATTGTACATTTGTCAGCATCCTTTACTGGTTTTGTTTTTTAAAATATGTCAAGTAGAGATATGCAGGCTCCCCATCTGAGGAATTTGTGGAACATAGATTATAAGCAAAAAGATGAGTATAGCAAAATATGAAGTGAAATAACTGCAAGGCCTAGCTGGACATTGCTGGGACATCATTCTTAGAGTGATTTGAAGCCCTCTGCAAACTGGGATTCTTCAAACATACCAGTGGGTAGGAAGGATATCAAAAGTAGGCTGCACATTTCTACTGTCAATCTACAAAGCTAAACATATACTCAATAAAAAATGTCACCTTAAAAGAATCTTCTGCAGCCTCTTAATACTCCAAGGTCAATCTCTCTAATTTGTAAAACTTATATGTCATTTATATTAAAGAATAATGTAATACAGGCAAACTCCAAAGTGTTTGTCTTTATTTTCTGTTTCGATAGCATAACATAGTGTGTCAGAATTTTAATTATGGTTGTCTTGAAAATGGACTATCTTTGGCATGATGATAGCTAAAGTAAGAGCAAGTTGTGTGAAATGCTATTGCCTCAAGAAACATTTTCATGCCTAGCATTCATAATCATTTTTTCTTTCCTAGACAATTAATATATTCTCTTTGTAGCCATCATTTATCCAGGTAGTAAATAATTGGAAATGATTATAAATCACTAAACCCATTGTACAAAAGAAGTGTGTTTGCACTCTTATTAGCTGTCTTCATATAGTAGCCAATTATTTCTGGCATTTGCATCTGTTTGTTCTTCTGGGTTTCATATTTTCTGAATGTTATTTTTAAATAAAATTAACAGTATATGATATCCTTCTGACACTGGAGGGAAAGCCCTCCAGAAAATCAGCAGGTAGATTTTTTCCTTTTGGTTCTTTGTTGGATATCTGCTATTATTCAGACAGAGACTTCATGCGGAAAGCAAACCACTGGCAATTCAACAGAGAGCAAAGGCATTGTCTTAGCTTGAACAAGGCCACCGGGTTTGTACATGCGTGGGTCAAATTAGCAGATACAGATGCAACTTATGGCAAGAGATTTATACAATAATCATAATAATTATTTATTACAAAAAATTTTATATAAACATATACACAAACTTGCCATTTCTCCTTCTGTAGCTTTAAAATGTTTCCATGCTAAGGCGTTTCTTTCAAACCGGAAGCAACTTTAAGTTCAGAAGAAAATATCTGAGACTATTCCTAATCTGTGATATCCATGGTATGTCCCAGACCAAGCTTGATACCTTCTGTGTTAAGGCACAAGCTATTCCTTATAAAATATATGCCCTGCTAAGAAGTAAGGGTTCCAAAACTGCTGTGACTTTCCTGACTTCCAGTCCTGTGCAGTAAAATAGAAGAAAAAAAACCTGTAATGTGAGACCTCAGCAAGTTCATAACAAATTCGAAAGCTAAACACACTGTTGGTTTTCCATAGATTGTGCAGCCATATCTCCAGTCCCTGACTGACGGGACCCTGTCTACCCACAGCATCTGTAAAGAATTCAAAGCAGTGGGAAGCCCAATACTTCTAAAACTGCTTTTCATATAAATGCAGAACAGATGGCTCTTTCATTTAGAAACAAAAAAAAAAGAAGAAAAAGGAAGAAAAAAAAGAACAAACCCAAACAAACAATAAAGAGTTGGGCAGAAAGAGAAGAGAGAGCTAAAGTACAAGACTTTGGGTGCAACAGTGCATTTCCGATCATAGAATCATATCATAGAAGCATAGAATTATTTGGATTGGAAAGGACTTCAAAGATCATGTAGTTCCAACCACCCTGCCATAGCAGGGACATCTCCTACTAGATCAGGTTGCTCAAGGCTCCATCCAGCCTAGCCTTGAACAGTTCCAGGGCTGGAGCATCCACAGCCTCCCTGGACAATCTGTTCCAGTGCCTCACCACCCTCAAGGTAAAGAATTTCTTCCTTATAACTAGTCTAAACCTATGCTCTTCCAGCTTCCACTATTACCCCTTGTCCTATCACTACAGGTCCTTGTAAAAAGCCCCTTCCCAGCCTTCTTGTAGGCCCCCTTCAGGTACTGGAAGGTCTCCCCAGAGCCTTCTCTTCTCCAGGTTGAACAACTCCAACTCTTTTAGCTTGCCCTCGTAGGAGAGGTGCTATAGCCCTCTGACGATCTTAGTAGCCCTCCTCTGGACTCACTCCAAGAGCTCCCTGTCTTTCTTGTGCTGGGAGTTCCAGGGCTATATTCCAGATGGGGTCTCACAAGGGTCGAGTAGAGAGGGGAATCACCTGCCTCGACCTGCTGGCCATGCTTCTATTGCCAGGCTGATACTCCTGACCAAACACTGCACAACTGAGCTGGGGGTATAAAATTCATGTGGCAGAACTGCACCCCAACAGCTACTGCCCAAGAGCAGGAGTTGGGTTCCCCAACAACATGGGGTTGTTGCCTAGAAGCAAAAAAATGAACATGTTTTACATGTAAACTCAGCATAGCTAGTGCAAAAACCTCACAGAGGTGCGTTTAGGTCTTGTTAGAGCACTCTTTTCTCAAGGAAGCTCCACTTAAAATGTCCATTTTTATACTTAATGAGTAGACATCAGTTGCTCTTCCCTTGTCAATGTCCTTCCATAAAGTATGAAGATGGTAAACTGTCACAACTGTAGGATTCAAATACATAAAGAATTAACCCTCTTGTTTTCTGGTGCAGCTTAAGGCCTCATATTCATTCTTGTGTCCTTGGGCCACAGAGGTGTCACTGCAGGCAAGGGTGTCACTGTCTCAAGAGTAGGAGGACAGAACCTCCTAGGGAACCTGAAACAAGATGCGTCTTAATAATCAGGAAATTCTGGCTGGTGAAAACAAGAGATATGAGTATAAAATGGTGTAGGGACAGATCTTCATCTGTAAGAGTGATGGAAGAATTTAACTGACATACATTTTCTAATATCTTCCACTGAATGTAAAATTATAAAGAATCTAAACTGAAACAATAGCACATTTGCCTTTGCTTTTAAAACAAATGTTCTAATAATATTTTGCAAATTCTATCTCTTTGTGATAAAGAAGTCAGAATAATAAAATTAGAGACCATGACGTATTTTCCACTATCTTAAATTAATAATACCTATGATTCATCACACTACTTAGAAACATGCCTGCGTAAATGTTTGGACTTCCCTTTTTCATATTTAAAGAGCTTTTCAGAGTTATGGCCAATATTTTCTGCTACTTTTTGATATCTAAAAATATAATGTTTTCCTCTAGTCATGAATCTTTTTAAAACATTAATCAAAAACCCTGTAAGAGATTTTTAATTAAAGAAAATAGTCCCTCTGTTTTCCACTGAAATAAATTGGAAATGAAAAAGATGTCTTGAAGAAGCATCGCTTCTTCTTTACTGCAGTTTGACAGCAATACTGTAAAGTTATTCTTTTACTTTTATAGTATCCCACTTTTTAAACTTTTTTTTTAATTAATGATATCCCTCAGGCTTAAGTTTTCCAAAAGTACATACATGTTTTTTTTTTACCAAAAACATCTATTACTAAAAAATTATTTTTTTCAAAACCTGATTACAAATCAATTAGCCTCTTCATATCTACTTGTGTTTTAAGGCCAGAATAGAGCTGGCCAGTTTCTCCTAAAGTGAACCATGTTATGGACATTCATCATACACTTGATTGCTGATGTAAAAATGAGATCAAATATAATTTAATTTCCAGGAAAGGATCAACTCTTAAGTCCTTAGCATCAATGTGTTGCTCTGATTTCCAGACATATAGATTTTTTTCAGTTCCCTCCACAAATTGCTTCTAAATTGTCTAAACACAACCTGTGGCAACAGTCCTCTGGCCCATAACTTGTTTTTTTTGACCTATTAGTGAACCACTCTATTATAATCTCTGTCTGCTTATGTTTGTTACTTCTTTTTAAACAGAGAGTATTATCTACCTTACAGTCATACATATACAGTAGCAGAAAGCTGAGAAATTGCATTTGCTTGATGTGAGTGTTCATCTCATGCATCTGTAAAATCATATGCAAAATAACTAGAAAAGATTGCAAAAGGCTTCCTGATCCCACCACTACTCTGAAGTGCCATCTAGTGACACTGAGAGACAGTAACAAAATTACTGTGCACTAATTCTGAAAATCAGGAGGAAAGCTATTTATTAGGCTTTATGAAAAGAACATACAGAAATTCACATGCTTACTATTCTGTTTCAATTTGTAATTATTTTTTTTTTGTTTAGTCAAACTGCATGGCTGTGAAATCATTAATTTTTTTTTAATGTCCACAGTCAAATATTCTTGCTTTTTCTATGGATGTATTTTTGCTCATCCTCTTTGAATACATACATTGCTCTGAAGTCAGTTTTGCTACGGGGACTGGCCTACAACTCTGCAATTTTTTTCCAAAATAGGTGGCCTTATTTTACTTGGTCATTACCAAGACATTGCTAGATGGTTGGAGTTTTTTCCATTCCTTCTTATTTTACCACCAAAGGGATTTAGTCAGTGCTAGTTTAGTTGAAAGTAGTTTATTTAATAAAAAGAAAAAGAAATTAAGGCGCATGTTAGTGACAAGTATGTACAGCACTGAGGGGGAACACGGGCTGCAAGATGTTCAGTATTAAGTGCATCAACTTCAAACTGAACTATAGGAACTAAAAATAGCTGATAAATTTTAGCACAAAGCATTTCCCTAACAGTGCTCCAGCAGCT